AACGACTTACATACTCGGTCCCATTTTGGCATGTTTATGTTGGGATTGACACGCATCTTGGAAAGTCGTTGAATTACGAACTTGATGTTCCAAACAACATTGGCAGCAAGTGTTACACAATCACAACTGGTGTTTCTGTCCGAATTGAAAATACACAGTTGAGTATCTTTGACAATGCCAACTGTGATGGATATAGAAAAACGTACATGGATGCAAATGAGTATTACAAGCAATGTGGCATTTGCAATGGATTTGGAATAGCTGGGAGTGGATACCCCGCAAACATGTTGATTCCCCTCGACAACCCAATCATGGGCAAATTTGTTGTTGATACGTCAAATGCCAATTGCCCCGCTGGTAATTACATTCCATCGTACATTTTGTCAACACAAACTGAACTTGGCTTCAGTTACATCTTAGGTGGTGTTAATAACGTTTACAACTTTGGGTTCAGAATTAACCAAACCGACAAAAACCACATCAAAGGCGAGTGGCTTGACAAACTCCCAACAGACTCAACAGCAAAAGTGTTGTTCTCAATTGAAAACAACAAATGCACACTTGTCAAAAACCATTGGGTTAAAATACAGTTAGACACTTTTGATGTTGCCAACTGTGAGATTGTAACACAGGCTGGTAAGTGTTACAAAAAGAGAGCCGCAGTCGATCCGGTGGATCCTCCAAAAACAGTCGAACCATCACAACCAGAAACACCAGAAAAACCATCTGAGCCAGAAAAGCCAGTCGATCCACCTGTGACTCCAGTCGACCCTTCAAAACCATCTGAACCAACCGAGCCAGAAAAACCAGTAAACTCTGAGGAATCAACTGAAAACTCGGAAATCGCTAATTTGGACGGTGCTTACTCTGTTGCCATTTTTGTTGTGATTGGATTTCTTGGTCTGTTGATATAACCAATGTTGTTGTTTTTTATTTTTTTCAACCTTTAATAACGTAACCAACATTTTTTAAACTATACTAGAAGTATTAAAATGTCAATATTAGTTATTGTTACAATTATCTCATTTATTCATGATACAAACTTTTTTAAATAATTATTGTATATAATCAATTTACATAATGTATTTTAATGTATTTATATGGAAATTTTTCAAATTTAATTTTGTTGATAAAAAAATTCTATTATCTTAAAAAATAAATATTTTATGTTTAATTTACAGTTGATTATTTATCAGTCTGTTTTTAAGTTTGACAATATACTATCAATGAAATTGTTTTTAAACAAATATCAATCGAATGAATTCTTAAGTACTCTAAATTCGAATTAAAACTTTTATTCAAAAAACCACTATTGGTTACAATAACAAGCAGTAGTATATTTGTTTTGTCAAAAATATGTAAATGTAAATATAAAATTATTATCATTTGTTTTATATTATTCAAAAATTATTTATATTTTTCGGTATTGTGATAATAAAAAAGTATATCAACAAATTTAAAGTGAATTTGATGAGTATCAAAGTTTCTACTTAATATTTAAATACTATTTGAATTATAACAAATGAGTTTTTTTATTTTTTATGAATGGTTTAAATATAACTTTTCATATTAAGTTTTTACAATGGTAAAATAATTATGAATCATTGGTCGAAACCTTAGTACCATATCTGTTAATTGCTTTCATCAGTTTTTTTGTTCTGATAGTATTATTATATGGTTTTTCTAGTTAATATATATAATAATTAAAATTATTTAAATTTATTCATTATTATTTTTTTTGAAAACTTTTTTTTAAAATTATTATGTTAAATACTAAAAAAAAACTAAAGTAAAAAACCAGTTCATTAAAAACAAACTTACCAAATTATAATAAACTTTTTTATTTTTTCTTCTTTTTTAACACACATTGTTTAAGAAAACAATCTTTTCCGATACAAGTGAGCGATTCTGGGAGTTCAATTTCGTATAAATTTTTACAGTAATCAAAACACATATCACCAAGTCTTTTAATATTATTATTTAATTCAACTTTACTCAATTGAAGACAATTACCAAAACAATGTTTTGGTAATTCTAGTACTCCTTCAGGTATTTTTATTTCTATTAAATTTTCACAATCACCAAACGCAGCTTCTCCGATATATTCCAAATTCTTTGGAAGTATAATTCTCTCAAGTGAACTACAATAATAAAAACAACAGCTTTGTATCTCTTTAATATTATATGGCAACCTTCCACCTATAATTCCTATGTCGCCTCTAAAACATGATTTTCCAAGAGATGTGACACTATTTGATATTTTTATCACACTCAAATAATCACAGTCTTCAAAACATCTTTCGCTCAAATATTTAACCCCCCTTTCAACAACAAGTGTCATCAAACCACATCCCCAGAAACACGAAGAACCAATGTATGTGACACTTCCTGGTATAGTGATTTCACTAAGGCAATTACAATAGTTAAAAGCCTTATCCCCAAGATGCTCTAAAGTCGAAGGTAATAAAATTGAAGAGAATGCGCATCCATCAAAACAACAAGTTTCAATTCTTCTTACGTTCGATAATACCACAGAAGTCAAGTTGGTGCAATAATTAAAAGAGTCTTCACATAACAACGTCATTTGTTGGGGAATGGTGATGGTATAAAGTGTTTTTTTCCCTTTAAAAAGACGATTTTCAAAAGAGTTGACATTGTTGGGAAGAGTGTTTCCATATTCTTTTTTGTCTTCTTTTGTATATGTCACATTTTTAAAAACAAAATGTTGATTTTCGCTGTTTTGTATGTAAAAAGTGTATGAAACAGGACATAAAAATAAGACGCGATGGTAATCAAAAT